GGAGTGGTAGCCGACGTGGGTTGGCTGGCATCCCGGTTATGAGAAGGGTTTGTCGCAACGGACGGACGGCGGAAAGTCTGTGTTGCTCCATTCATGCGAGTTCGAGACCTGCATGTCCCCGGTTGAGGATGAGTTGTCAGTTCAACTCCGCCACGCAAAACCGCCGGGAGGGACTAGGACGGCGGCCAAAGCAGCGGGTAGACCGCATAGAACCAGTTAAAAGAGCATTGCATACCATTCTCCACCGGCAGAGCCATCCCCTCTCCTGTTCGAGGAGTCGTGGGTGTTGCCAGCGGCGGCCGAGGCAAAACTAGACGGAAGTGGCGTGGGCATTATGAAGGTCGGTAGCTGGGCGACGGACGATAAGAATGCCGGTCCAGTTGGGAAAAAGAGAGAAGTTCGGGGAGACGAGAATCTAGAAGAAAGGTTCAAGTTAAAACTGTGGATTGTGTAAACAACAAGGAGCGATGCGAACGTTTTTTCTGGGGGGAAGATGTGGAAGGGTGGGTTGGAGACAAGCAGCAGTCCGTAGAGCTGGTGAGGAGAACGGATCAGCGAGGGGGAGAGAGGCAGACAGCAAGGTGGAGGAGGACAGTAAGACGATTGGGGGGGGAGCAAAAGAACACACCTTTGTGTCTTTGGGATAGAGATCTGGAAAGAAGCCGGGGGCGGATTGAGAGTCGAGGTCGAAAACAAGAACGCTAGACGATCCAGAGTCGAGATCAGAAGATCGAAAGGATCGAGAGTTCCTGGCAGGTCAAGAAAAATGAAGAGGCTTGCGGCGAATTAGCTGGTGGCCGTGGAATTACCACCGTACGGGTCGTGACGGTCGTGACGAAGTGACTGTTTTCGTTGTTTTTTCTGTGTTTTTTACTTCGTTTTCGCGCTTTTGGTCGTACCGCCAGGTCGCCTTGTGCGACCGCAATTGGTTTATTATCATTATTACCTCAGCCCACACTGGTTGTGAAACTGCCGCACAAATTGGTGGTCTGGTTTCTGTTTCTTTTTCTTTCTTCGCTGGACAGCTTCCAGGGAAGGTCGGGTATAGATAGATAGCTCATCCTCAGCCTTACATGTGGCGCAAGCTGCCCATCGCAATTAATTCCAGTCTACAGGTGACAGGTCAGATTTGACCCGACTATCTCCAGTTTATCCCAAGATTCCCCCAAACCTGGAGTTTGATGGTTGCATTTCCGGGACAGTGCGTGGCCATAACATCCCCAGACAAACCTACGATGGGTTACTGCCACGCCGACACCGTCACTGGTGGTTTGGCCGCAAACGCTTCGGTTTCTCTTGACGTGTCGCTTCAACTCAACGTCAGAAATTCCACTGGGATGGAGAGGAAGCTCTCCCCCGGGTATTTTTAGAATGTCAAAAAATTTTTGAGGGTCGGGCTATTTACATAGTATTGTGGTTAGCCAGCTTCCAACTCCCTGCTTTCTACCTTTTCATTGTATATACTATTCAAAGCTAGTAGACAGGTAATTCAGCGCTGCATAATGTAAGGCATCATCAATGAATTGTGTGGTGAGAGAAGTCAGTGTCGTCACTCTGAAGAACAACCTTCCATACCAGCCCCATACATACCATACGGCCAACGTACATGCCAGGTACACCCACATACTAAAATAGGTGGCCAGTGACTTGCCAGTGACTACCATCCGTACCGTACCCCAACCTCCACTCTGCGGCCTGAGGCACGTATCCCATCGCAGCTTTACTTAACAAGCAATCATCAACAGTCAGCACAACACAACATCACAATCCTCGATCTGCAACAATCCGGTTTGCCTGCAGTGCTGGGGATAGACATGTTTACACGGCCATCGGCTTCTCGTACGACCTTCCAGCAAAATCTACTTGGATGATGCCTGTGGCTTGTTTCTGCCAACGTATCATCCACTGCCAATATACAGGTTATTGACAGCTTGATGCTCAATCATAAAATACCTTCATTAACAAACATTGAGGATGATCACACCTGAAATCAAGTGGAGTTGAAGTCGCGCGAGGACATACTGTGTACGGATAGAGCCGCTGTGCATTCCAGACGAACGCGAACAATCTCCCGCAGTTCACCACATATCCAAACAGAATGCTGATCTGTCAACTGCCCTTCACGGCACTCTCGCAGATCAATATTATAACTTCCAATGGCAGCGGTTATAATCGCATAATTGCAAACAGAACCCAATAAAATCGGCGAATCAAAGCCGCACCGCTTCAAGAACCATCTAACATGATAGTATAGTCCAAGATTGGTGTATTTGTTAGCACCAATCTGCGTCGAGGTCAACAAAGAGGCTTCAGAGGCATCAATATACATTCATGACATAGCTGCTATCGACAGATTTTAACAAGAAAGCATCCACTATATTCCACCATAGTACGCCTTGGCAAGATATGCAGTCACATCTCGCGCTCATCAGCGTTTCCACAATTCCAAAGGGGATGCAATCAATCCAGTTGATATATTTCTGGGAATGAAATCTCATAACAGACTCTCGATCCTCCTCTCCGCTCGGTTTAAATATCGGGATCCAGCAAGGCAACAGCAGCTCTCAAACAGCAGGCCATCTGCTATACCATCTGTCTTTCATAGTAAGTATGTCTTTCCCATTCACTCCTAGAGCCAATCTATGATATGGTCAATGGCTCGGCCCCCTCTCTATCTTGCTTAGAGGAGACACAACAATACATATTACCTCATACTGTAGTCTCAGGATGTACTATAGCCCAACTACAGCATATTCCGGTGATGGTGGATGCCCTTTCAAAGTCAAGCCGGAAAAATAACTGCAGGATTATATTACCGGTAAGCTACCAAGCTAGACTTGTATATAGTGGAACAAAATCATGGCATCATCCTAGTTAATGAGGTAGGGGGTGGCAATTCCAACTGGCTTGAATTTAGTTTGATTTCGTGACAGATGTTAATCGTGGTGGTATATTATATTGCGATTTATCATTACTATCCCCTTTCGTTCCCCTTGATTACAATTATTGTTGGTATCATGTTGGTAGTATTGGTGTGTTGGTGGCGGATATATATTATAATCAATGTTCAATGCTAGTAGTACTACTTACTAGCAGTTCAACCCTCAGCCGAGGCTCAAATATATAGATGTATTTGTGCTGTTGAAAATAGGTTTCGAACGTCAATTGCAAGTAACAATTGAGTTGCACTACGCGAGAAACCAACAAAGTTTAACACAAACTTAAGTGTTCCTGTTCTTGAGATTAGTCTGGATAACATCATATGCTGCGTAGATCTTCACCGCAAGCAACAACTTTGTCTCCTCCCTCCCGACGCACATCCTCGGCAACCGATAACGGCCTGAACAGCTCACCTCATCCCCGCACGCCGAACCGAACCGATAAGTGCATGCATGCTCCATCTTTTCCTAGTTTCACTCTACATATATTCAAATTGAAAAAATTCCGTTTATATATCTACAGCTTCAAATTGACTAGTACAAATCATAAAAATCCACGCCATAATGTCGAAAGCCATCTTCCTCAACCCAGTCGATGGTAAACCCGGAAAGCCGGGTCAAGTCTACTACCCCCTCGCTGTGAAGACCCTTCCCCAGCCTGTACCTCAAGGCCGCGAGGTTTTGGTAAAGCTCACAGCTACATCGCTAAACCACCGCGATGTGTTCCTTCGTCAACACCTCTATCCGGGCGTCACCTTTGACGTTCCCATGGGTGCCGACGGTACAGGAACCGTGATAGCCGCCGGTGAAGGAGTGCGCGATCCGCAACGCTGGATCGGGAAGCGGGTGGTCATCAACCCCGGAGTAGGGTGGAAGGAGTCTCTGGATGGACCGGAAGATCCGAAAGGGTACAGGATCATGGGCGGGACGAAATCGTACAACAAGGGGACGATGCAGGAGTATCTCGCTATCGATGAAGGGGAGCTGGAAGAGGTGCCGGAGCATCTGTCGGATGCAGAGGCGGCGTCGTTTCCGCTTACTGGCTTGACAGCGTGGAGAGCGCTGGTGGTCAAGGCTGGAGAGAGGAATTCGAGCAAAGGAGCTGCAGTCCTGGTGACTGGCATTGGGGGTGGTGTGGCATTGATGGCGCTCAAGCTCGCGGTGGCTAGGGGCGTGGATGTCTATGTGACGAGCTCTAGTGAGGAGAAGATCCGGAAGGCAGTTGAGCTAGGGGCTAAGGGAGGTGTGAATTACAAGCAGGAGAAGTGGGAGCAGAAGTTATTGGAGTTGTTGCCTACAGGGAAAGTGGCTTTCGATGCGATTATTGACGGAGCAGGAGGGGATTCGGTGGACAAGGCTGTCAAGTTGCTTAAGGTGAGCAGACCTCTCCCCCCTCTCGCTATTTGAGTACGTCTGGACTATATCTGACTGGAATAGCCTGGTGGTGCTCTCTGTGTGTATGGTATGACGGTCGCACCGCAGATGCCGTTCTCCATGAAGGCTGTTCTGAAGAATATTGATGTCCGGGGCTGTACGATGGGCTCGCGCAAGGAGTTCAAGGAGATGGTCGAGTTTATCAAGACGCACAAGATCCATCCAGTCATCTCACGCGTTTTGCAGACTGATTTGGAAGATATCCCTGCGATCGATGGAATCTTCGAGGATATGAAGGAAGGGAAGCAGTTCGGGAAGCTGGTGATTGAGTTCGGGAAGACCTCTGGAAGCAAACTGTGATGTAGATATCATTGCCAGATGTTAGCTTTCTTCTGTGACAGTACTCATTACGGGGAACGTAATGGACACGATGAAGCGGTACTTGCCAGAGCAGCCTGAATGTGTAGTCGCACCTTCCCTGTGCCAGGTAATCCGTTTGCCTCCATGTCGCAACCCTTCAGAGTTGACTCCAAAACCTCTGGGCTTCATCACCACCACTCCCTAGCTTTCAGGCCACCAGCTCGTTTATCGTTTCATATCCAAGGATAGTTGAACCCTCATTGTTTGTTTAGATACCGCATCATACTCGACTCGGCGAAATGGATGTCGATATTCTCACCCTATATGGACCTGGGATGTCATTTTATCGGTCGCAGATTCAGTTGTCGTCTTCGAAAGAGAATGGTATAGTAGGAAAGGCAAAATTGTCCTCACTATCGGTGTGTCAGCTCCAGGGCATTCAACAAACAGGCAACAGGGTATACAATGTGTCTGCAGGCATCAATGCTAATGTGTACCCAGAGATACTCCTCAGCTCTTGAGTCGCTGAAGGTCAGCAATCAGAACCTGGACCATAAAATGAGCACGCTACGCTCCAATGTATTCCGACTCAAAACCGATTTGTCGAAGCTCCAGCGCCACGTTAGGGCGTTTCATAATGAGCTCTTGACCACATGGCAGGCTGACACGCTTACCCGGCTGGTTGAAGTTGTCTACGAGCGACAGAATTGGAAGTTACCAGGAGGGGTCGCTGTCGGTGACCACATCCACTTGAGCCGCGAGAGACAGTCACGCATCTTGGCCACTGCTGCGAGGAGGATCAGAAAGCCGATACTGAGAAAGAATTTTGGGCTCTCGGTGCAGTACTACTCGGCTCTACAGAGATACGACGAGGTGAGTGGTCAACCCGTCAGGATTGAGCAGAGACCCAGCTCTGATGTCAGCAGATTGTCCAACTGCGCAGTACGAACGCTTTTCGGACGGAATGCACATTTGCTCGAAGACTAGTCTCAGAAAAGGAGAATCACTGGGGCATGTATCGATTTTGGGGGGCACTGTTTCCTCTCTGCTATAGCCGGTCTGTGGAGGAGAGCGCCGAAATATTCTGATATTATTCCCGTGGGCGAACGAAAGAGATTCCTCATTTCAGGGACTGTCCTGCTTTCTGGTAGTCATCTCCGAATAGATAGCACTGAATAAAAGCTCGGTCAAGTCCCACAGGCTTGTAGCAGCCGTGGCGGGTTGAGTGAGACATGCTACCAAAACCGGGATGACCATCTGGTGTTGCTACCGATCCTATTTCTGGCAACGACCCATAAACAATCCAATCATTCCCTGGCTAGTTTTCAAAGCCATTAAATCCGCCGTCCCAGCACGAAGGGCCCGGCTACGACTCTGACTGGCCATGTTTCTGGTATTTTCGACCAGCGGAGAGGACCTGCATAGGCTATGGGTTGGTTGGATAGCGTACGCCGTGCGGGATGCAGGATAGGCTTCGACCATGCAGCGCGAAGTCGGAAATTCCAGGATGAAGTCCACTAGACCGGGTGTCACTGCTCAAGCGCCACCCATTGCACGTTGTTAGCTCCCGGATCCGAAGAAACAGGGTTAAGGATGACCCTCCCCAGCCAGTATCTCACCGTTAGGCTGATAAGACACACACACACCTGCGTCACAATGCATGACCCTGACCTCTCCACTCCATAACGGCCAAGTTGTACGTAGTAGATAGAATGAACGAATGCTAGACACCTGTGCGTGAGCACAAATCACCGACTGACGTCGAAGAATGGACTGAGATCGGGTATGACTAGAAAGGCCAGCAAACAAAAAAACTAACTAGCAAAAAGCGAAAGATGACTGGATCAGCTGACTGATCGAGTCAGTGTCAGGTGGTAAACTAGCGCATTAATGCTGGAATAGGGATTTTCTCTTCTCTTTCCCCCCCCCCGCCCCTCCATTCCTACAGGATGGGATGATCGGGCCATGCTTCTGATTTTCTCGATTGGACACGGGTGCGGTGCTTCCTTTGGATCTTCCTTTCCCCCATCGATATCTCCATCTCCATCCTTTCTTTGGTTGGTGATCATCGCTCGCTAGTGAACGTTTTCTTTCCGGTCAGAAAAGGAGAGGTACACGATGGGATAGGGTGGTCAATCTTTGGACATTTGCTGTAGTTTTCCTCTGGATCCGAGTGAATCACATCCCAGAAACTTTGTTCAGCTGGTAGTGTAGTGGGGTGGTGAATAGGGGGGTTTGAGAATTATTGACTCTTTAGGATGGATGCAGTGCATATGCCCTACTTACTAGTCTGCTACGTAGTAGTAGGGAGGTATGGGGCTATGTCTATGGGTCTTGGTGATCTCTTAGTCCTAAGGGGGGATACGTTGGAGTATGGATGAACTACTGCAAGATTTACGGACTTGGTATATGTGGGATTTGGATATCCCACTTTTGTAGAGGTGTTCAGCTTGATGGTAAGTTCGTGGTTGAGGAGAGTGAGTGCATTTACCGAATGGATAGCCCATGTCTCACTAAATAGCCTGAGTATTAAAGGCTATATACGATAGAGGCTGCGCTATGGGGGTGAGAATAGCCGCCACTACTATCACTAAAGCATAACGTGGGAATCTAGGAATGTTCAACGAATTATCTATGGTCTGGATCGTGTAGTAGGGCATAGCCCAGAAATAATGAGATCTCTGATCTGGAAGTATGACACTACTACATAGTAATATCGCTGTACTAGCAATCTGACTAGGGTATATATATCCTGGACTTGAACATGGAAATTTGACATAAAAGGTACCAGTACTACTTACTAAAGTACTAACAGTACCAACATGCTTATCCTAAGCGTAGTACACACCCACGAGGCAGTCAATCTACCTATCCAAACCTTACTACCACCACCTTAAACCCAAACCTGTCAACTGGCTACCATCTCGCCCGTGCACTGCATCGGTACCGGAACGACTGAGCCTCGTGTGACACAGACAGACAGCCACAACCACAACCACAGACATACTTTGCAAAGCGACTAGAGAAGCAGCCCTGTCGACACATCCTCCAGAAGAAGGAGGTCCCGTAGTCCAGTGTGCGTTCACGAACAAATCCCGGATACTCCGTACCCTATCCCATCTCATAACATAATAGTAACTCCGAATAACGGAGTGAGTATGGAGGAGTAAGTGGCGCAGATGTTTCAAGCTGAGGCATACGCCACTTTTTTTCTTTCTTCAATTAGCACATAGATACCATCTAATGCTAGCTAGTTAGGTGGGTGTTAACTGGTGTAAACTAGTTTAGTACCTTGTTCCAAGGTTTGGTGGATTGGTATGTATATACTCTGTATCAGACATAGCTACTACTATTACTACGTACGTACGGAATATATCCATCTACTCCGTAGGAAAACCATGCTATCCACCTACTACCCACCTGTACTTTGTAAAACATGCACATCACTACTTCTCCTGATAGACATCTAGTAGCCACATGGAAGTCAGCTCGGTACTGGGTATGTACGGAGAACGCCGTTGACGCTCTGTCCAAGTAAAGTAATTGGAGCCCAGTTCCACACTGCTCGTCCCGAGGCTTTGGGTTGCTCTATTCTGGTCTGTTCTCTATGATCAGAAGTAGAACTAGCTCCGGTATTGCCTAGTAGGGTAGTATTCATCCATCAGTAGACTACTGGTCTGCTGGCTTTTGCTAAGGAGCCACTTTTGGGTTGAACTTGTTTCGGACCTATCCCGCATTTCACGAGCCCCTGATTTACTTTTGTGATAGATGGGTGGGATGGATGGGCAAGTGGGATAGAAGGAGGGGGTATTTACTGGTTGGAATTCGGGAGGGACTGTAGCTCGGTAGGGCAGTGCACAGCCACACCGGGGCAACGGCTGTACTTTCTTAATTTAGGGATTTTATGCTTGGAGGGGTTGAGGATAACGATCATAGTAGTATATGGGTATTAGCGGGAGATAGAGAAATTGATACATTGGTAAAATGTGTGGCTAATTTGTTTGTTCGAAGCCAGGATGATGAGCGACGTGTGTTAGTGGTGATCATCAACATACATATCCGAACTAGATGAACTAGATGTTTTCCACCACCTCTGAATTGTGATGTACTAAATGAATCATATACTGCCATGCAGTACCTACCAAGTAAACCACCATACTATAGTGACTCGTGAATCTCCATACCCCCCCAATTACCCACAAAAGCCAGTCAGTCTAAGTCAGTAGCACAGTAGTTAGTGACTTCGGTACCGACAGACTATAATAGCATATGCTTAAATTAGCATCAAGAACACAAAAAACCAAACAAGAGCGAGAGTAGAAAAATGGAACCAAAAGCTAAGCAAGCACAAAGTAAATGAGAAAATTAAAAATAAACATGAGAAGAAAAAAATTAAAACTAGTAACTCAGACCGACTACAGGTGAGACATACTACGGTTTGCAATTAGGGTTCGGGTTGCGGCCTGGATGGGAAATGGATTGACGGGCGGGCTACTGCCACTTAGTTTAGTTTGGTTGTTTCTTGTGTTGTGTTTTGTTGTGGGGGGAGGCGCTTGGGTCGGCATTTCTTGTCTTTTACTTCTCACAATGTATCTATTTAGCTCTTTTATTTTTTTTTTCTGGGTTTATTTCTATTTTTTTATCCTATATGAGACACAAAGTACCGTACTATTCTATGAGTAGAAAGGGTCATCTTGGCTAAATGGGGGAAGGTTAGAGTGCGGCTGGCTGAGGAGAAACAAACGAACAAATAGGCCAGGCCAAGCCTTGCTAACTAACTAACTTACTAGTTGGCAAGTCAAGTAAGGTGACAAGTGAACTGACTAGTTAGGATTCATCTAGATGGATAGTTCAGTTAACCTAAGAGACTTTCTGACTTCTTGACTAAGCGGATATGTCTCCTCCCTGCTTGACTGACTTGTCTACATGCTTAGCTAGTGCACGGCTCCATAAACTTGCGGATAAGGAATTAAGACAGGTGAAACTAGTGAGAAAAAAAAATGAAGTAAGATCAAAATTAGATATATCTTACTTGATTAATACGGTGTACTCCGTAGACACTGGTATTCAGTTTGCTGTGTTTGTCTAGTGTGTAGATAACCATAACCAGCCACCATGATCAACATCCCGCTCATCCCCAACCAAAACGTGCCGATCAAAAGAAAAAAAAAATAAACCTTCTTACCGTCTATCTGTCCGTCCGCTCCGGGTGGGCCGGACTCTACTTACTTGCTGCGTATGCACGGCGCGTGCAGTTCAAGACCTGTTATTGCATGCAAAATTTGACGTCCCTCGTTCTGTGCTACCTTTCTTCCTGTCTGCTACTCCTAACTTCCCATATGGCGTATCCCGTGCAGCTGGAAATGAGTATGGATAAGGAAAGAAATTATCCGGGTGGTTCTGGTGGGTATGCCAGCATTAAACACAGTACTTGCTGGCGCATTTAATTTCCGATATCAGGGTTTGTGGGATAACCCTAGCATCAATTTGAGGGTTTTTATTCTCTGATTCAAGGGGTAATGGGCGGATGGATGGTTGATAGCCATGTCCAAGTAAGGGTGTAAACTCTCAAATGATGTACCTGGACCAGTCTACGTCAAGTCATGACTTCCGGGTAGATTGATTATCGACACCCAGAAAGACCAAGGTTTAGACTAGACGGGAGGATGCAAGGACGATCCAATCCAAGTCTGTCTCTTGCAGATGAAAATTAAACTCATGCGTCTTTGCTTGGTGCCTCGTGAGAGGGTGGCAGGTTGTGTGTGTGTGTTCCTTCGGGGCTCCGTGCTGGGTCTTGAGATCCTGTGATGACAGTGGTGTGCTGCGTATGGAGCATCCTCCACTAGGCAATTAACAATGACGGCATGCTGGCCGTTAGATTGGCAGCATAACATATAACAGGGATAACTAAGGCGCGACTAGAATCAACTAGAGCACGTTTAATCTGACTGCTGTGAGAAAGCGTAGACTGCCATTTGTCGTGGTGCCGGGTGGGTGCCAAGAGCCGGCCGGGAATTGGACGCCTTCCAGCTATTCATCACTTTAGCTGACACGCCGAGCCGGGGTTGATTGCCCACCGCAATTAAAAGACCCTGAATGCTTAATTGCGGTTCTTGTGCTTCGGCTGCTTGGGGACTGGGGGTGCTGCTAAATGTGACAGATGCACCTGTCTTGGTCACAGTGGTCGATACCACCTTCCTTTCTTTGCTCGAAAGAACGAGCATCGTCACTTGCCCATCGTATGATCGATGATCACCGCAAAGTCGTGAATAGTAGGTGGTCTAAAAAATATGCCATCCCATGGAGTGACGACGTTCCGAATCCGAAAATACGGAGTAGATACGACAACCAGTCAACCACGCTTCCTCGGTAGGGAGCAAATTCCCACGCGCTGGGACCCATGGGTCCATCGCTGCTAACCGTTCCACTTCCATCATGCTTCCGGAAGATTCACCTCCTTGTTGACCGGCCGCCGGCTGGTTCCTTGGGTTGAGGTTCGGAGCCGCTAGGATTGACTGGCTCGTACTAGACGGAGTCGATGGGGGAAAGTGGAGCTTCGTAGGATTTCTCCGGTTGACCCCGGTGATGTTCCGGTGGTGGTGGATTTCACCATTGAATGATTTCCGGAGTCCAGGGCTCAATATGAACCGTGACTGAATTATGATTGTTAATGATAATCCTCAGGCGGAGGATGCCGCCGGTGTACTCTGTAGATACTAGATAGCTGTTGCACTGCCCGAGATTTCCACATTCTTCGCAATTTTGAAACAGATTTTCGGATGTAAAGGTTGACGATCATACCCCTCACACACAGAGAATCCTTTCTTAGCACACATGCAATAATATCTACTCGGCGATTCCTGCTGCCCATCAACGGCACAACTCACTACACCGGCCGAATACCATGCCCACTCAAGGGACGGCTAGCGCGCAGCCGGGGTTAGCATGGTCAGTGGACTAACAGCCCCAATGGACTGCGGGATTTTCCATACCTTGATCGACTGGGTTAGCCTGAAGTTTGAACGATGAAGGGCACAGAAACTCTGCCATCCTTTCTAGCGATTCTAGGCAGTAGCCAATGTGTTTTGTCCTTTGAAGTTGTGGTCCGTCCGCTGGTTGAAACTTTGGCCGGTCACTCGGTCGGGCGCGGGCGGATTTCCCCGAGCATTGGCCGACCTCTGTCCTAGTGTCCTTTTACCCTATAGCAAAAGCATTTAGGAATGCCGAGCCTTCCTCCGACGTCTAAGGCAGTTGATACAAAGTACCTACCATTTCGGAAAGCTTCGTAGAATTGCTGGAGTAGATTCGGAGGGCAACGTGCAAGACACTGTAGATTGGCTTGGCTTCGGGTTAATTGAAGAAGGTTTGTAGTAAGAGATAGCTCATATGCCGGTGTTTGGGATATATATTTTTTTTTCATATAGACGTTATGAGATGAGTAGTACTGTTAGTTTGCACTCTCGTTTTCGTTTAACAGCAGGGGTACTAGTATTGCCTGCCTCACCTCGACCCCATGCAAACGCATGTCAGGTTGAGGGACCAAACCATCCCTCGTGGCAATGAAACCATGGTCCTACAGACCACTTTTTCCTTTTCTTCTCGAACATGAGCTCAAGCAAACCACTTTGGTCGCCCATCCCAATCAGGGACAAGCCATGCGCACTATTGTGGACAAGGACTGCTGATCATCCCTGTTTGTAGCTTAGGGGGCGAATCATCTCCATGGGGCTAATCATGCTATCGTTGTAGGGGCCCACAGCTTCCCTTTGGCATGTCTGGATAGAAGCCAGTAAATAGTCTCACTGCCTGCTGAGAATCTTTCTCGCCCGCAATTGCAAGGTGACTAAGGTAGGTACGGATACACTAGTTGCTGTAAGATGGCGAGCGCGCGTGCTTCTCAACGTGCTCCGAACGATGATCCGCCAAGTTACTGCCTTTGGGTCGATCTATACGACGAACTTTATTCGGCATCGGTTAATTTCTTGCGATTGAAGCGACTCCTGGATTGAGAGTCATGTTGTCACATCGCATAGGATGAATTATGACGACCAACGGCTGTCCGATAGTATTGTATGTGACGGACAGTGCCAGGTCATTCGTAGTATGTACCTACAGTGACCACTGCTACACGGTACATTTAGAGAGCACCCGTAGTTGAGCAACAGGCGCAACGCCCAACATCCATGACTCGGAATTCGGAATGACACAATCGACAGTGTCTTCGGGAGTCAATCAGTTCTGGCAGTCGTCCCGAAGCCCTGAAGACCATTGAGAGTACTCACGGCAAGTATGATCTAACTTTGAGACCTATTTCTTACCAAACGTGGAGTACGGAGGACCTCCGCAACAAGAGCCAGGGAGACTGAGCCACGATGTGCTGTCCACAACAGAATAAGATCGACAACGCTCGGCTTTTTCGATAACATGACCTCATGGGAAACTAGTGCACAGCTTGCCCAGGCTTGTTTCCTCTTGACTCCCGTCGATCTGAGTATAGCGTTGATGACTTGACCACCGTGGAACACCGCCATGACCTCATCTTCGGTCCGGGACTGTCAGCATGATCACATTGGGCGGCCTTACGACGATTAGATCCTAAGCAATAGGCTGTACCCAAGCGTTGGTCCGTGGTTGGGGGGTGCTACGGTGAGTTTGACTAAATATCAATAGTTCCATCCCTGTTCTCGAGAAAGGGCAAGCAACCAGGATAAGCAGTTTCCAGCTGAACGCCCGAGGCCACGATGACGGCCGGGATGATCAGCTCATGGCGGTTGGCCAGGTCTCAGCAGCTCAGCCGCGAGAAGCGTCCACTGACGGCTCACAGTGTGGTAACAATGCAGGGTCGCTCTGCTGCAAGTGGAGGTGGTAGCAAAGGTAGTACTACCATGCTGCTACCTTACCACCACCAGGGGGAATAGCCTTTCGGTGCTTCCCATCGTGCCACTCACCGGACTTAATTGTGAGCGAATCAAGTGCCGACATTATTTTAGACGGAGGATTTTTGGAGGAAGAAGCGGAACCTTTTTTTCTTCTTCCTTTTCTTCTTTTCTTTTTATGCGCTAAACCAAAAGGAAAAGTGAAATCGAGTGGCAGTGGAGGGGAGGGGATCCACACCGCCCTCTTCTGGCACCAATGAGACGGCCATGTCCGACCCTTGCATGACTTCTTTCAGTGGGAGCCAATGCAAGGTTTGCTATGTTTAGCATCTTAGTAGAAGTACCGCTTCCCTCAGATAGATCGGCCGCTAGATAGCTATTTCACGGTGGTGGTTGCATGCCCGCGTTCGAGGATCCCATTTTCCCACTGGCTGTCGACAAGAGTGCAAAAGAGTGTGTTATTTGCTGTGCATGTACCTTACTGTTCAAGTTTAATTCACACCTTGCTTGATCGTTAACCGCTCCAACCGAGTTGACTAGATATCTGTTAGAAGGCGAATTATCCGCCTTGCCTACCAAAGAGACCAAAAGCCGAAAGGCTGGGGATTCAGACGCCGTTGAAAGTGGATAATCTCGGTAGACAAAACTAGTATAGCACAGTTGAACCAAAGGTCAGCCGCTGCGCTGCCACAATGTGGAGTGATGGTGGAAGGAAGGCACGGAACAACGGAATCGTTGGCTGTGACTGGCTCTGGAAGCGTTCCCTGCACGCTCGGGCGGGCTCGCAGTTGGCCTGACACCATTTTTTATGACTTACTAGTACTTACTTACTTGCTCTTGCTTCTCCGACTGATCAAACATGTGGAAGAAGACACACGACGGTACTCCCGTAGACCAATCAGCAATTAACTTTTCCAGAAATCTTGGCGAACCATGCGAGAGTCTGATGTTTGAGCTTTGATGTCATGAGATAATGGTAGCGTATGGAGTAATCAACGATTTCGCTTTGAATACGGTGAGTCTACTTACTACTGTCTACTAACTACAACAAAGTACTGAGCAGCCGGAAGTCAAGGAGTACACGCCGAGCCGTGGGCGGGGAAAGTAGAAGGGGGAGGAAGGCTTGTTCTTGAGGCCAGTGCAGGGTTGAAAGAGGAAAGATTGAGTGCCAAGTTAGCTAAGAAGGTCCAACACGCATAAGAGAGATAGAGAAATAGATACTGTGAAGTTAATTAGGACAGAATTCTGATACTCAACTACGTACGGAAGATAGGACATAGTAGTCTTCTTCGGAACATCGGTCAGAAGTTGGACCCGATCACTGGAACTGCGAGGCTGAATCAGGCTTTATCTCCAGACCCAGAACGGAGCATTCCCAAACGGGATATTGATGGAGGGGGCAGCCAATAAACTAAAACGGTCTACTATCGGCGGGTCACTGCTGCCTGAGGGCTCCAAATTAAGAAATTCCCATTTAGGCAAAGCTTCCTTGAGTTGGCACTGAATGTGCTCAACATTACTTCCTCTTCGGGAAAGGGGGCAGGGGTGGGGGACCTTACGAGAGCTAATAATATGTCACGAACTCACGATCGCTCCGATTCCTCTCTGCTTTCTCTTTACTCTATTGGTTTGCTTACCTCGGTAGACAGCTTCGATCGTACTAAGAACTTCCGCTACTTAAGTATTATCTCATCAAGAGGACTCCGCGGATCACGAAGGGTCCTCCTGCTAGGTCGATTTTTTTTTTCAAACTTTGATTGGAAGGACTGCCAGTGGGAGTTACTTTCTATCCTTTGATTCCGGTTGTCAACTCTTTCGAGAAGGTGAGCCGGCTGGCCTAAGTCTTTGAGACACCAAAAATTTATGATAGGCCTGGGAAAAAAGAAAGAAAAAAGAAAAACCATGTCATAGGAGGGACTAGACAGTAGGAGTAGTGATGGTAGTCATGAGGACGAGAGGTCGAGTGATGATGCATGAAACGGGGCAAAGTAATATGGAAAAACGCAGAAAACGGTAACAACAACGAGGACATGACTGTGACGGTTAAAGTTTGCTACTGCTAGTACAATAAATCTCTTACTTACTGAGTTAGCACAGAACTAAACAACTACTACTAGCATCTAAGTTGACCCTTTTACTGGATACAGAAGACCGTGACAGGGCAGCTCATCCTGCCAGATGTACGAGGTTGTTTAGCCCAAACTTTCTGCGGAACAGTTATGATGGTAGGCTGGGTGGCTGCCCGGGGGATCCAGTATTATTCTTAGGCCCCGTATCAGCCAGTGTATCAGGGCCCTCCCGAAAGGCCAAGGAAATAACGGAAAAAGGTGAACATCGCCCCCTTCCCCCACCAACGAGGATCTCAGGAAGAATGGAAATGGACTGGAAAAACATGGTACAGTCGCCGCAGGTCATACTTTGCACAGTAGATGGAGACCATCTGTTACCAATCTGAATCCCATAGGGCCGGAGGAATCTCCAGTAGAACCAAAGTTATTACGGAGGTAAAAATAACGGGAACCAGAAACCAGTTCTCTTTTTTGCCTTTTTTCCCTCCCCTCCTCTCCTCCCTCTCCTCCTTCTTCCACTGGCTTCTGCAGCCCTGATCTTTTTCCCTTGGGGGGATCCACCGGTCAAGGCGGCATGGACCGCTTGAACGGTGCCTGCTGCTATTCTTTGCTAACACCCTTGCTAGCCAGTTTAGCGCCTCTTCCCTGGATTTATTTGGGGGAGGGAGTTGGATGATTATTCACCCAACACCCAATGGTGGGATTCCTCTCACCAAATAAGAATCTCCTCTTCCGAGAATAAAAATAATCATAACGTTTCTTACTTTCTTGGGCTTCATGACCTTTTAGCCCTGAAGCTAACTAAACCTATCTGGACTAAGAACTTCCCTACTCTCTCCACTTAGGAATTCCCCTCTTAGTGAAAGGCCGCTTTCCTCGCAAAGACGGAGGGTAGCCAAAAAGGAATAAATAAAATAAAAAAAATTAGAAAAAAAGAATAATTTGAACTAGACTAAAGAAAATAGAGTGAAGGGTCAACGAGCAAGAAAAAAAAATTGAATTTTTTGAAAAAAAACCCTTTTATTTTTGATTTTTTGATTTTTCCCCCCTCTACCCTTGGAGAGCGGGGATTGTCTTCTTACGGCCTTCCCATCCTTCCCATCCTTGAAGCTTTCCCCGTGACCCGATCCGATGCTGAGTGGTTCCTGGTCAAAGGAGGATCGGAAAGTTCGTAAAAGAAACCCATCTCAAAGGGTTATGGGACGGTACTAAGGTCTCCATGGGACTGGTAGTCTAGCGGTAGAGATGTGGAGGACCACCACCAGCCCAGGGACATTTACGATGGAGAAAAAGATCCATTTAGGCCAACCAGCCATTTTGGTCTGGTCTTCAGATTTCAGGGTGTTATGATTCCCCGAACAACCTCAGGTATAATTATAACAACACACACTCACGCGAGAGAGGAAAAGACGCCGTTTGATCTTCCTCGGTGACGGAGTTCCCTTAAAGAAAGATTGTTATTATTATTCTTCTTCGATCCTCTTATCCTTATTACTATTATCAATCGCCATTTATTTATATCATTCCGGGATCCAGTAACCTCGAGGGATCAAATTGAATTGTTTTCCAACAATACCCCCGGTCCTGCAAACCTGATCCCTACTTACTACTTCCTACTTATCTAACTATTTTCCCTTTCCATCCTCCCACCAGCACATCCCCGCCACACTAAGGCTATTGTCGCCCAGTGCTCTTTCGTTTCTTACCACCACATCCTCGGCTCAAAGCGGATTGCTTTGAAGGGAAAAGTAATATATCTCTCGTCATCTCGTACTTGACGGTCACTCTTGTTCTTTTTTTATTCCTCCACTATTATTGCTCCTCCTCCTTCTCCTCCTTCTACTACTACTACTACTACTTCTCTTCTCTTCTTCTCCCCCCCTCCCTCCCTCCTCCTCTCCCCACTCTTTCCCCTTTCACTTTTTCTGTGATGGCACAGTGAAGGTATCCCTTGTATTTCTCTTTTTTTTTTTTTATTAACACTTCCACTCGCTCGTCCCACGTTCGCCTTACACTCGCTTTGTTTGGTATCGGAAGTATCATTACGTTCGCTACGTTTGTGTTGATCGAAGAAGAAGGAAAGAAATAAGAGAAGGACCGAATTGAGAAGAAAAAAATTATTGACGAAGGAGAGAAGCATTTATTGGCAAGCCGCATTGGGAACTGATCGGACTTATTGGATATCCTAATATCTAATCCTCACGGACTCTACGCGCTCGCTGATTGTTCGACAACCGTCGCTATATCTCTGTTTAATTGCCTCGAAGCTTGGCTCCGTGTCCATCCGACCAGAAGGGGGAGGATTTTTTTTAATCCTATTATTTTCGACAATAGTGTCTTAATATTTCCGAAGCAACCAAAAAGTCCGCGGGAAAGCCGCTGATTGACTGGACGCCATCGACTTTCCGTGTCGTGTGGTCTCCTCCCCAGTTGTTCGTTTGCCTGGTCCCTTATACGCCGGATCTATAGAGCGATCTCCGTTTGTTGAGCGGAAGGACGATCATCGAACCACCCCCCGTCTCTCGTCACGCCAAACAGCCCTCCCCATTTCAGCAAAATCATCTTTGATTGCAGTGTCCGCATTCGATCATCTGTCTCAATTTTACCCTCCGAAGAAAAAAAAAAAAAAGTGTGTGTGGATCGTCAGCTAGCCTTCTTGCCAACCTTGTCTCTGTAGTCCTTCACACGAGGTCGGACCTGGACTCAAACCATCGTGGATCTTTGTCTCGGCTGAGGACACCACCTTATTACAAACTAGCAGGGAAATATCTCAAATAGGCTGCGTTTACTGACGAAGCCTCTCCCTGTGCTGAAGTCATTGGTCTGTTAAGGTTGGTGCCAACCCCCTCCTCTCCCTTTGCCACAGACTCTGTTGGTGCCTTGCATCACTCTCCTTCGTGTCCCCTTCCCTCTGTACTCCTTGCTTCTCCAAGGTCGTGCCTTTGCCGCACAAGATCCCAAGGAAAATTAGGGTCCACGATGGGTTCCGTGCGCTTGTCACCTCCCCTTGTATGGTTTCCGTCACTAAACTTCCGGA